CATCATCCAGGTGGATGCTGCACATTGGTGGAGGGGAGTCCCCATTACCTGTAAAGCGCTTTGAGTGGAGTGTCCAGAAAAGCGCTATATAAGTGAAAGCAATTATTATTATAACTAATTTAACCCAATAATTACATCAATTAATCAATTAAGAGCCTAACTGAAAGAAAAGTATGTCTATCGATTGGAAGTTGGAAATATCGCATCTAAACAGCAAAATAATCATTATTACTGTCTGTATTCTCTTTTGTAATGAAAGTAAATCACTCTTTCTCTTTCTCTGTTACCATTGGTGGCAGCAGCTGACACTCCATTGCCTTCTCTGATCAGTTTGGGCTCTGATTGGCTGGTAGGTGTAGAAGCCCCTCCCTCCTGGGCAGGCCTGCTCTGGGCCTGTTTGAGCTGCTGTGTCTCACTGTCGCCCTCTTGCGGTGAGGCGAAGCGTTGGGTGTCCATCAAGGCTGAGAAACGGCGTCGTGCCCCCAGTGGGGGGCTGGAGTCACTCTCAGTGTAGGAGGATTCAGAGCAGGAGAAGCGCTTCCTGACAGCAGCAACACAGTTTAAAAACAGCTGGTGAATTTTTCATTTCAGATAAACAAAAACACAACTATATCACTTTCACATCTCTGAAAAGCTCATCCGAATTCAAAATTTCTATCTGCACGCAAACGAGGCAACTGTTTTTTTGTTCACTCCAGTGGAACAAAAAATGTTCCAAAAATGTTTTGCGCTCCAGTTGAGCTGCTAATTTACTACAACAGTGTTCGATTTAAAACTATAATCTTTTATTATACCACACCTAGACTGTCTGTTGATAGAACTTTACCTCGTAATTGTTTACTTCTAGAAAACAGTGGAGCATTATTTTAGTGTTGACTTTAAGTTTTGTGATATGCACCACTTATTTTACATAACTCTAAAATGCTATCCCGCTTTAAATCCATGGAGATTCTGGTTATCTTATTTCTCTTCCCACTGGCGATTAATCAAAATTCCCATTAGATACGAACTGATCTCTCACAACCAGGCTCTTTTTAAGTCAACCCTCAGTATACAAAAAAGCTTTGCCAAAAAGGACACTTGTATCTGCATGGGCAGAAAAAGGATGTCACGCTCACCCTTGCTGATGATTGAAGGGGCAAGCTGGCATTGAAGTAGCAGCCAATTACATTACCTTCCAGCCTATCACTTAGGACCAGTTACCGTGGATACCAATTGACAAGAGACCTGGACCACCTGAAGATGCCTGCTTCAGGAGGTTCAGAACATAAAACCTTGGGTCTGACAGAGATAGGGAGTTATGGGGAGTATCGTCTGAGCCTCTAGAGCGTTATATTCACTTGATTCCCTAGCTTTGTTTCTCTGCATTTCTTTGTAGGAATCCTGACCTCTGCTTCGTTACTACTTCATTGCCGGATTACCTCTTGGTTTTTCATCTCAATGGTGTATATCTTGACCTGTACCCTGGCTTGCTTTGACAGGCAAGGATATTGGTCTTTGCTCTCCCCAGATCTGAGCCTCACATCACTGACCCCGACCACTCTCTCAAAGGAGAGAATATCTCCTCTGTGTCAGACTGACCATGAACTTGGACTGTTTTCTTCCTGGTTTCCTAGTCTGCCATGGCCCGTGCTGTCTGTCTGGATGGACAGCTGCGTTTCTCAGAGTCCCTAGCTGGCTACAGTACATTGCTGCTTGCGTGCTCAACACAGTTGCTGAGCAGTGCCCCTTTATGTGTATTGGGGAAGTAACGTGTCTCTATGTGACATCACTGCAAGCTCCACAGCATCTGATAGGAGAGTCAGCATTGATTGGAGGAGCAGTGTGTCTCTCTGTGACATCACTGCAAATTCCACTGCAAGTTCCCTTGTGCGCACTGATTGGAAGAGCAGCGCGTCTCTCTGTGACATCACAGCAAGCCTGAAATTGCCCAGCATGTCATGGGAGTTGCATGACACCCCACTCTGGCGGCTCTCACCATTTGTTTGTAACTCTTTAGTGGGTGTGAGCCTAGTCAGTACCTGGTCACAGTCAACTAATGACATGACCCAGGTTCAGATCAGAGATGTCTGGGTCACAGAACTCAAACTCAACTCCAAACATGAGAGGTAACTCTTGACTCTGACAATTACTTCAAAGATCAAGGTGTGTCTGTAGATATTACCGCTCAGGCTCACTCACATGTCTGGAGAACTTGTCCTCCAGCTCTTGTCCCGCATCCCAAAACTGCCCAGGCTCTCTCTCTTGGTCACTTTGTCCTCCTTCTGGGTTTTGGGGTCCCTTTTGGTGACGGCAGGGGGCTTCTGCTCCAGCTGGGAGAGGTGCTCCATGCTGCTATACACCTGAGACACACCCCAGCAAAAAACAGACAATCAGAAACCAACACACACACAGAACAAATGAACAAATCTATCCCTCATGTTAAACTTGCATGGGATTTTTTCAGTTATTTTTTGCCGTACATTGAAAGATGGCTATGCCAGGCTTTTGCTTTGCTGTGGTTTCCTATATTTCCTTCTTCGGTATTAAAATGCACTTCAATGACCATGCAGGGTGACTATTGTGCATTGTGTTAGCATTTGCTCTCTCTCCAGGGAGTCCAGAAAAGGAGAGAGGGACTGTGGTGATCCGACAGTAAATTAACAGGACCCTAACGAATTAATTAATGGGTGCTAGAAGCTGATTAAGGAGCAGAACAAAAGAGCTGAAAGAGGAGGGAAAGATAAAGAGGGAATAATAGAGACAATTGCTTCTCGGATGTTACAGAGGCTCCAGGGCCTTTGATATTGAAATCACCAGGCCCAGGGCTGCAGGCCCAGTGTGTCCTCGTCAGGGACCAGCGCCAATGCCGTAGACCCCTCGTTAACCTGGTTAGCCCACCCCACACACACATACACACTCCCAGCTCCCGATGCTGCTTCCCAAGCACTTGCTGTCTTGTGTCGGGGGCAGCCGGGGGGAGAGGGTCTATTGCGTGAACCCACTGAACCTTTTTCCACTGACATAAGGACCAGGATCGGGGAATTCTGCTCATAAGCAATAAGCTGGAGTGACCCACCGGACAGCTAGAGGCCCTGAGGGTGGGGTCTCCCCCTGCTGTACCCACCTTGCTGAAGCGCGGCGAGCAGGAGGAGAACTGCCGGATCTCCACGGGCTCGTCGTCGTTGGTGTCGTCCTCCTCGTACGAGTTGATGTGGTGGTAGCGTTCCGAGCGAGCTGGAGATAGTCAGGGAGAGGTTTTACCAAGCTTACAGAACAAAAAAAGTGCATTTAAAACTAAGAACAAGAGACACATCTTTACCCAAAGGGTTGTAGGAGTCTGGAACAAGCTACCTGGCCATGTTGTTATATCCAGGGTCTGACAGGAATCTGATACTCTGGATTCTTTTAGTAAGCAGTTGGATGAGATCCGGGGATAAAATACCTACCAACTGTGAAAAGGGCTAAATGGGATGTATGGCCTTCTCTCATTTCTAAATTCTCAGATTTTGTATTGTTCCAGTCTTGTCCAGATGGGGCCTAATCTTTACGCCATTTTTGGCTTGTGCCTCTTCAAGTTTGTACTAATGTGAATGATGTAGGAAGATGCTTTATTGTTCATTGTCCATTCAGACCGATTTAAAAGAATAGACAGTGGTGCTGTCGGGTTAGAATCATTATTTTAAAATCACGTACATGCACCAGAAGAGACACTACTGCATAACTAGAGGGTTGCGGGTTCAAATCTGCACCGTGTGTGCCACAGCTGTATCCCTGAGCAAGGCGCTTTGATTGCATTAGCCAACCCAGTTCCACGGGTTCCAGCATTGCAGAAAAGGACTGCGGTGCCCCATCGGGCATTACGTAACAGCAGTACCTCTTCCTTGTCACCAGTGGGGGCTGAGCGCTGGAGACTCACTGTCAAAGTAGCTGGTGTCCTCCTCTGACTCCAGGTGTGGGATGAACTCGGCCTTCTGTCGAAGCAGGCTGTTCCAGTCCAGGTCCTTGAAGAACGAGTGCTGCTTCACCTCGAAAGCTGCGCCTGGCAGGGGAGTGGAAGAGAGCGAATTGGTCGTGAAAGAACCTTTTCTGGAACCGCGGGGATCTGAATGTGCTTTGCTAAAAGATCAAGGACTAACATAGCCTTGCCACCTGCAGAATCCTTAATTAACCACCCTGCTTGAACAAGAAGGACTCTGTCATTATAGAGTCCTTCTCTATATGCAGAGAAACCACAATATTTAAACGGGGGGTGGGGTTATGTATTTTTGCAAAACACCATGGAGCTACAATTTTTAAATTGTTCCTATAATGGTCAGGTGCAAAACGCGTGCCTTCTCTTAACATACTGCCGGAAATGAGCTAAACACTGTACTGGGAGAACTGGACTCATCAGCATGATGAAAATAAATCCCTGAATCATCAGTGGTCAAGAAAGCCATAATTATTTTTTAATGCATTCCAAATAATGAAATATATTTAATTAAATTAATCAATATATTCAAATGCATTTCACTAAACTGAGTTAACTTATTCATCAATTATTAACAAAACCTTATCTGATTAAATTAAATTAATGCACTTTAATAAATCGGATCTGTTTATCTAATCCATGAGTTATTGATTGATGATCAATCAATCATCATAAATCCATCAGTGCATCTAAACTTTAGATGGACTTTACAAAGGGGCTCCTTTGGCATAAAGTCAACACATACAGTGCCTCCTACTGTCCCTGGGCATTTGGCTGCAACTGTCCTGAGATGGGTGTCCTGCTGCATGTGTCCTGGCAGGCTGCCATACCTGTGCCCAGTCGCATCAGGGGGTTGGTCTGGAGGAGGGCAGAGATCAGACTCTGGGCGTCACCTGGCAAGGCCTCATCACCCTCTGGCCACACGATCTCATCTGGGAGGCACAGCCACGGGCACACGCACACGCGACCAGGCAGAGAGACACAGGGCACAGTTGAGCTTCTTCTCAGAGCCAGTGGGAATCGTGGGTTACACTAGAGAATCAGGTATCATTCCTCCACCCCTTAGCCTGATCTGATCTATCTGATCTCACAAGTTAAGCGGAGTTAGGGCCGGTTAGTACTCAGACAGGCCTCTAATGAAAGCCAGGTTCTGCTCTGAATGGTGTTGCTAGTTCTGATCCAGAGGGAAGGTGGTGCTCTTCTCCCTGGACCACAATTTCCAAACCAGTAGTCCCAAATAATGACCAGGAACATTTTGCTGTAGGAGCAACATTTTGATTTTCAGCTGAGGTCCTGGCTAGTGTTTGTAAGAGTAGTTGTGTCTTGGTTAAATTCCCTTTTCTTGGTTAAATGCCACAAGTAAAATCTGGCCTCCCTTAACTTCCCACTTCATTCAACATGTGTTGCAGTTTCTCACTCCTCTGCCTGACCTGCTGTGCAGTGGGACTGCTGGTTGAATAATAACTGCTGTGTGTCTCTCAGGTGGGGCTGCTGGTGCAGAGTGGCCGCTGTGTGTCACCCAGGTGGGGCAGATGGTGCAGAATGGCCCTGTGTTGCCCAGGTGAGGCTGCACTTAAGAGGTACACACTGTAAAGTGTGTGCTCTCCTATATGTGAATCACTCTGGGATCCTTTGAGATGAATAGCACCTTACAAATGTGAGCTATTATGGCTCGAAAAGTTTACCATCACAAATGTATGCAGCTCTTGCAATTTCAGTTTCACACCTCCACTATGTTATTTATCCCTTATTATCGCTCCCTGCAGCTTCTTTTCCTCTTCATGCATCCTTCTTGCCCTCACAAAGTTTTTCTGCTTTATCACAGTGCAGCACTGTAAACCTTCATGAGACATATCAGGCCCACGCAATCCCTCTGTCCCTTTCCTCAAGACAGGAGAACATTTCTTCTTTCCTACAGGGCGTTTTGAAGAAATAACGAAAGCCTCTTACCAGAGCCTGATGTACGCTGACATGGAGACAAAGCTTACTTACACACGACAAGTAACAGCCGAGGAGGAGCCTGTGTGCAGACATGCCCACAGGTCCTGTTTAACATGTACCACTACGATGCTTGCAACCCCTGCCTCTGAGGATGCTAAAATCCTCCTCCTGTGCCCTCTCGCTTGTCGCTGCCCGCTGCCCTCTGCCCACTGCCCGCCGCCCGCCCGGGGGGCTCACCGCTGATGACCTGGCCGAAGAGCTCCTCGGGGGTGTCTCCGAAGAAGGGCACGCAGCCCACCAGGAACTCGTACAGGATGATCCCCATGGCCCACCAGTCCACCGGCTTGCCGTAGCCCTGCCGCAGGATCACTTCCGGGGCAATGTACTCGGGGGTCCCGCACACCTGAGGGCACAGGCGCCAGGGAGAGCGAGTCTGAGAGAGCGGGAGTTCATACGGCATCGCTGGGAACATAGAGGAGTTCATACGGCATCGCTGGGAATATAGAGGAGTTCATACGGCATCGCTGGGAATATAGAGGAGTTCACACGGCATCGCTGGGAATATAGAGGACATCGCTGGGAATATAGAGGACATCGCTGGGAATATAGAGGACATCGCTGGGAATATAGAGGAGCTCATACAGCATCTCTGGGAATACATTGGAGTTTATATTGAATCGCTGGAAATATAGAAGATATCGCTGGGAATATAGAGGAGTTCATACGGCAACACTGGGAATATAGAGGACATCGCTGGGAATATAGAGGAGTTTATACAGCATCACTGGGGATATAGAGGAGTTTATGCAGCAACATTGAGAATATAGAGGAGTTTATATAGCATCATGAGGAATATAGAGGAGTTTATACTGGGAATACAGTATATGTGAGTTTTGTACAGCATCATTAGAAATGCGGGGGAACCTTTGTTTCAAGGATCAGTTGTCACAGGATGGAATATGGTGCTTTTAGGGTTTTAAGGGAGTCTATATGCCATTATTAGTAATACAGGTTAGCATTCCATCATTATTAATATTAGATGTCTTTATAGTTCATCACTATCAATATAAGTTTGTCTGTTATCCCTATCAAAACAGCATATGACTATGTGATATCTTTCTGACAAAGGAGAGTCTGTATACCATTATTATGATGATACAGGGCTGTCCATATGTCATCATTAGCTATGCAGGAGAGTTCCTAAACCATTAAAATAAACACAGTGTACTGAACAATATTCAAGAGTCTATGCATACCTACCGAACACCCAGTGTTCTTGGCTAGTTTATCAGTTAAAATACAGTGTACTGCATATCATCAACAGACACAAAGTGCACTTATAAATATAAAATAATCTATATTCAGTTGGACTACAGGTCAGCAAGGGTATGTTGAAACATTCCAGTAAAGACTAGAGGAGCTCCACTGTGACAGCAATGAGCCCTTCAGGATGGAATGAGCAGGTCGTAGTGCAACACAGCACAGGGATACATCACTCTCAATCCTAATACAGGCAACAGCAAAAAGGTTTCAGTTAGATTCTTGTTATCTGAGCAACTCATTTCGAATGTAGGCTGGAAGACCTCTGGAGACGATGTCAAAGCTTGTGAAAAAACCAAAACCCATCTCTCTTAATTATGATCTGGTAGATGCAAAAGGGTCTTTTTTATTCATAACATGCAAATTAATTCCTCATCCAGGATGGGGGGGGGGGGCAATGGGCTAGATAATAAATAGAAAAAAAAGAGATGAGAGCAAATACTTAACTATGTTAACAAATTTGAGACGTTAACTCCTGCATTGCTGAATTTTCATGTCGTACACATTCTCCCCTCACAGATGGTAAAACAAATGCCGATTTTTCCAAACTGGGTTCTACTGTTGAACCAGATTACTAGCTATAACCAGGGGGAAAGCATTCATTTCAAGAGCTGAAACACTCCAAATAATTTATGTGGAACACAATTAAGTGATTCAGTGCTCCAGATGAAGGAGATGGGATGAAAGAGTGCGTTAATCAGACACTGCTTTGGGACTGGTGCTGCAAATCCATATGGAAATAAGAAGCAACTTCTGCATTCAGTTCTTTCAGTTCTGATTATTGTTCTACATCTCGGACGGAAGGCAACGGTAGGAATGTTCACATGAAAGGAGCACGAATAAACCGCACTGGTGATGGAAAGATTTGGACGCTGGAAAGACCTGGCAGCATTCCTGCGGGATACTCCTACCTGCTTGTCCAGGAACTCGCGGGCGTCCTTCTCGATGTGGCCCTCGTACAGGTTGGTGGTCATGCTCATCAGGCCCATCTTGGACAGCCCGAAGTCGGTCAGCTTGATGTGCCCCATGGAGGTGATGAGCAGGCTGAGGGAGAGCAGCACAAAGTGAGGGAGATCCGTGGGGAATCCCAGGAATGTCCGGAGATGAGCGGATTTCTTTAGGCAAGCCAGGAAGAACTTGTCTAAGTCAAAAGAGAAGCCATCTGTTTTGCAGTATGTCACATTCTGTGAACAGTGAACATGATCACGCTCAGTTATGAAGCCTTCATGATCCTTCCTGTCGTCTGGTGTTTTGGGGGAAGAAGGGATGAGTCTTTAAACTAAGGATGAACAACAGTCCTAGTGAACGATGCTCTAGCACTCTTGAAGGATCACCTTGAACATCTGCACTTGCTTCACCTTGATTGATCGCACCTTTCCAGGATCAGGGCCGGTCTCCCGTGACGTAGAAGATGACAGACTGATTGTGCCAGCCCAGCCCTTCTAAAAACATCGCCACCCAGCACCATTCTGCTACTTCACTCCCCTTTATACAACAGCCTACAAGGATGAAGCACCATGCTCTCTGTCTCTGTGCCTTTGTCCCTGAATTTAAGAGGCTTGTCTTGACTAGGAGTCACTCTTAAAACGAACCAGAGGGCACAAGTGGACACCACTTGGAAGTGCATTTAAAACCAAGAACAGGAAGCGCATCTTTACACAAATGGTGGTGGGAGTGTGGAACAAGCACACTTTGTTGAAGCTGGTTCCCTGGCTTGCTTCAAGAAATGGCAGGATGAATTGGATCAATTAGCTATTAACTACCAAAGGGGAGCTAGAGGATCCTAATGGCCTCATGTCTGCTGTTCTTACTTGTCAGGTTTGAGGTCCCTGTGAACGATGCCGTAGTTGTGCAGGTACTCCAGTGCCAGCACCGTCTCTGCAAAGTACATGCGTGCCATCTCCACAGGCAGGGCACCGATGTTCTTTAGCAGGGTGGCACAGTCTCCACCTGTGGGACCCACAGAAATGCAAAGGGGGGTTCAGAGGGACGTCGCACCACAATGGTTTGGGGTCACAAACACATTGGACTTACAGGCCCCAGCGACGTGTCCAAAGCACTTCAAATATCACTACTGTCTTCTGTCGGTTTATAGAAACTGGTTTTCTAATGGTTTACAGAAACATATATTGACTCCTGCGATGTTGTGGAAATCAAATTGTAATGACTGCAACAAAGAAATGTTCCCCTGTGGAAACTGCAATGCTGCAACCTTGGTTCCACTGACACTCTTGATCCTGTGAAGTGACAGAGGGCCTTTGGGGTTTCTAGAGGCTGAAGACTTGGGAGCTTTGACAATTTAAGGCCAATTAAACAAATAATTGATTCAATTAGGATCAAGTAGAGGTTAATTCCAACCTGAAAAGGAGATAGAGAAAACAACATCTCATCTGTTCAGGCTGTTGAGCCTTCAGGCTGAGACGTTGTGTTTCTCTTTTCTACTTTTCAGCTTGGAATTAACCCCTACCTGATCCTTTGCTACCAAAACAAGAGCCAGGATCACTGCTCTAGAATTTGAAATAATTCTTGCTCGTCATTTGCAACATAACTTCTTTTCCCCTCCTTTTTCTTTCTAGATCATAAAGCAGACCACATATGCAGGACTTGACCCGACCTGGCTTCGTTTTCTGACCTGGCCTGACTGTGTGACATTTTAGGAATAACCGACATGCGATGATAACCTTATAAGACACAGCCATTGTACCCTGTGTGGAAATATCTCTAATGCATTGGGTAGAGTGGTGGCACTGTGGCTAAGGATCTGCACCTGTGGCTGGAAGGTTGCTGGTTCGTATCCTGTGGCTGGTAGAGGAATCCTACTCCGTTGGGCCCCTGAGCAAGGCCCTTAACCCCAGTTCCTCTAAGGGCGCCGTATAAATGGCTGACCCTGTGCTCTGACCCCAAGCTTCTCTCCCTGTCTGTGTGTCTCATGGAGAGCAAGCTGGGGTATGTGAAAAGACAATGCAAGAAAAAATCCTAATGCAAGAAATTGTATTGTATATGTCTAATAAAGTGATCTTATCTTGTCTGTATGTCTAAACACCCATTTGTGGTTATAACAGAGGGCGACTGGAGCTGTTCACAGACTATTAAGCTTTGATTCAGAGCACCATTGTGTGTTCTCATGAAAATGGCCTTTTTCCTCGCAAATTAAAACTCATTTCAACTTTGCTGAACTGCCCCGTGACTCCTCACGTTCTCTACACACAGACCCCTCCCCCCAGTCCAGAGCGCCCCGGATTCTGCTCCTCTTACCCTCCACGTACTCCATGACCATGCACAGGTGGCGGCGCGTCTCGAAGGAGCAGAACATGCTGACCACGAAGGGGTTCTCGGCGAAGGTCAGGATGTCCCGCTCCACGAAGGCCTGCTGGATCTGGTTGCGCAGGATCAGGTTCTGCTTGTTGATCTTCTTCATGGCGAAGCGCTGCCGGGTCTCCCTGTGGCGCACGAGGTACACCGCGCTGGGGGGGGCGGGCAGAGAGCAGATGAACTTGAACTTGAACTTTATTGCCATATGTAACCGGTACTGGTACAATGGAATTCTTACTTACAGAAAGTCTCTCGATTGTAAAACAAGTCCCCTGAGCAAGGCCCTTAACCCTAACTGCTCCAGGGGCGCCGTACAATGGCAGACCCTGCGCTCTGACCCCAAGCTTCTCTCCCTGTCTCTGTGTCTGTGTCTCCATGGAGAAAAGCTGGGGTATGCGAAAAGACGCATTCCTAATGCAAGAAATTGTATAGGGCTAATAAAGAAACATTATCATAGATGAGCCCAGCGGGCAGACAGTCACACGGGTAGAGAGGGTGCTCGGTGCTGCAGTCTGTGTCAAGCACTCCGCTCCTAGCAGGCGAACTGACTGTGCAAGCAGTGAGCAGCGCAGAGCTGCAGGCCCTGCGGGACTCGAGGCCACTCTCTCAGATTTCACTAGCATTCAGATGAGTCAGGGCTTTCCTGAACCCTTGATGGAGGATGCTCAAAGAAAACAAATGCATCTTTCTAAAATCTAAAAATTGGTTCCCCCCTCCACCCTTTTTCTGCAGCCCTATATCTGGAATAGACAGCATTTTACACAATGCATAAAAACTGGAGTCCTCTCGGACTTCCTTCCTTCCAGCTATTTATCCATTTTCTAAGCTCTTCTTCCAGTTCAGGGTAGCGGAGGAAGCTGGAGTCTATCCCAGCATGCAATGAGTGCAAGGCAGGGTACCCCCAGGATGGGAGGCCAGCCTACCACAGCAGTCAATTAACCTACCAGTATGACTGTGGGAGGAAACTGTAGCACCTGGAGGAAACCCATGCGAACACAGGGAGAACATGCAAACTCCATACATACAGCACCCCAGGGTCTGCAATTGAACCCAGGGCCCAGGGGTGGCAAGGCAGCAATGCTCACCACTGCTCAACCATGTAGCCCACCCTCCCGACCTTCTGTTTTATCAAATAAAAGTCTCCATGTCAACTAAACGGAAATGTTTGCTATTGCTTTTCTGCGTCCACTTCTGAAAGTTAATTTAAGAGGATGCAGTAATTATCTAGCAGACAGATGTAGAGGATTTCTATCTACCAACCGGAGGTGGCCCTTGGCCAAAGCTGCTGGGGAAGGTGGCATATGGACCAAACTGCCCAGTCATGCTCTGTGTGCTGAGTCACCTGTGAGAGGAGGCTTGATAGAGGAGCTGTCGACTCACCCGTACGCCCCATTGCTGATGAGCTTGATGGTCTGAAAGTCTGTCTCATTGGGCGGCTTCTTGGCTTTCACTTTCCCCTTTGGAACAGAAACATGACAGAGGGGTTTACAAACTGATGTGCGCGTGACCGAGGAGGAAACCTATGCAAACAGACAGATGGCTAGCAGACTAGGCAGCTATAGTGTGTTTCAGTCTGATAACCGACACTGCAAAATCCCCGAGAATAACTTTTCAGGAATTATAATTTCTTAAAGGTTTATACCTAAAACAATATTAGGCAGTCAAGTGCCACATTTTCAGCATCTCATATCATGATCAACTTGCAAATATATCAAAAACAGAGCCTGACAATGGGATATATCCTGTTGGACTAGATGATTCTCACATGCATGAATCATTTTTTCTGAATTGTACTGGGGAGCAGTGTGCTCTGTCAGCGTGTGAATGTTCTCAGCCCGTTTGCAGAAGAGATTTGCCATAACCTCACGAGTGAGGTAGTGCATCAGTTTGTGTCGCCTTGTGCAAAGCTGAGAAATCACTGCCCGCTCTCACGCCTCCTCCTTTGCAGCCCTTACAATGTGAGTCACCAGGCGTTGAAAGGCTTGTGGCACGCACATTGTATCTTTGAGATCATCAGAGGAACATGACAGATTCAGAAGCAAGATCCAGAACCAAGCCCTCAAAATGTACTCCTTTTCATCAACAGAGGATACCCTAGCAGTTGTTATTGACAGGGCCTTTGCCTGAGCCAAAAACACCCCTCGGACATCAACTCAATCAGGAACTCCCGCCGTAACAACCGCATTCCTTTGGTGCTTCCTTACCACCCCAACACACTTCCTATCCCCAGGACTATTAACCACAACGTTTCCATCCTACAGGATGATCCCTCCATTGGGG